ATGCATGAGCTTGCAAAATGTGTGATGGCCAGTTGTAGTTGACACATTAAGATTGAATGACAAAAAAGTAAAATGCTTGAATTTGAAAATGGCATTTCAGGAAGCAGAGAAACCGTGTACACAACTGCAAATTAGATCAAAAGTAAATTGCCAGCTGCTGAAAAGGAGAGCAAGAACTTTGCCGTCTCTATGGAAACCAGCAGACGGAAAAAAAGAAAAACAATCACTGTCTATGATTAGCAGCATCACTCGTAGACAAAATATAAATTTGTGTGCTGGGGATGTTCAAGTATTCCCGATGAATGGACTCCTAATGAGTACAACAGTCCTGGGATTTCACCAGGTTACATAAAATAAAAAACAGGCTATGGAGTTCTAGCTCTCATGATTACATCTGTAAGTACATGCACCAATTTTGTAAGAGGAACTCCAGGAACTGTAACAAATTAACCCTTGCAGTTGGGCTACACCACACCGCAAGGGTTAACTGCTTGCTTTGGAATAAAAAGACAAAATACTCACCTGATCCTTGGTCCTGTGGCAGTCAGCGCTCACCTCTGTCCCCCCTCCGCTGGGGCGGTTGAATCTCCCTTGGTGTCCTCACATCTAATGCACATGCATTAGGCATGATGAGGTCACAAATCGTTAGAGAATGGGGGGGGAAAGAGTCTGCAAGGAAAGGTCTAGCAACCAGGCGAAGTGAGGATCAGGTAAGTATATCTTCTTTATTTTAGCCTCTAGACCAAACCAGCTGTTGAGGAACTAAAAGTCCCATGAGGCATTGCAAGACTGACAGTTACAGGCATGATACCCTGCGGCAAATGCATGTTAGAATCCGTCGTTAAAACACAGCTGGAGGGCCAGAGTTGCCCATCCCGGCCCTAGACCAAAAGGAGCAGTTAGTAAGGCTACCCCTGTACTGCAAGGGTTAATTTTTACAATTCCTGGCATTCCTCTGTAATGTCTCCAAAATCAGTTACTTTCAAGGCTTTCAAACTGTCAAGGTTGCCAGTGTGTGTATTTCAGCTCTTAACTGAACTTTAGATGGCTGTGCGATCACATGTGCAAATCCATGGCAACTGCAATCCAAATACAGGCTAAAATGGCACCTTTAACGCATTTTGCATGAGGCCTTAGAACCAGAGTATAGACTCCTAGGGTCTTTGCTACAAATATCACCTTTTCTCTATACAGTGGATTTAAACAACATTTATCAAACAGTCACCAAGTCCCCAAAAAGACAAAACTCCATCCTGCCATCCAACTGTTACGATGAAGGGAACATCGGGTGACCGGCAGCAGAACACGCCCATGCTCCAGAGCAAGAAAGTCCCAGAATCCCAGTCACACCGATGACGTCACTGTGTAAAATCAACTTTTTACACAATTTCATATTACAACTTAACGTATTTCACCGTACAGAACCCAAGGACTGAAGTCCGTGTAGGGTGAAACATGCTAGAAGTGGACTGGGGACAGGACTGTGTGGCACATGTCGAACTTCAATAAAGTTGATTTGACAAAGTGATGTCATCTATGTGTGACTGCCTGGGATTCTGGGAATTAAACAGTGCAACACAGAAGAGATAAGCAAACAACTCAACAAAATCAGCAAACAGCTTAACAAGAGTCCTATAGTAGAAATAGAGCCGTTTTGGAAAGAGCAAGGGAAGGTTATAACCCCTCAGCTTTTCTTTTGTCATCTGTGTCCCAAGGTACAGCGTTCCCTCACTTCCTGTTTGATATCCACAAAGTGGTCAGCAGGGTCACAGATCTAGTGTCCTCAATGGCAGATGGTCCATCAATCCCTATTCTGGTGACAACCCAAAATTTCACTCTCAACAATGACGGTCACCAGGACAGAGAGGGTGGAAACAGACAGCAATAAAAACCCGACAGGTGTTCTAATCCCTTTCCACTCTGTCAAAACAAAAAGGTTTTGGCTTCAGCTGCACTTGGAAAAAAATGCATTTTCTAGTATTCTAAAAGGCAAAGGAAATAAATAGACAGGCTGCGTCCTTAATTGAAAATGAGAAAGCTGTCATTTCTAAAAAAATCATGCAGAACTTGTTCATTGGTGACAGTCTGTCTCACATTCCCCATCACAAACTTCAGTTTCTAAATATGCTGCCCTGTTAGCAAACGGCTGTGCTACAGCAGCCTATATTTAACTCTTTTGCCTGTTACCATTTCAGAACCAGACAATCCGAGCAAAGTATTACCATCATCACCAATTTATTGGATTCCTCTGCCCGTCACATTTATAGATATACAATCTGGCCGCAGACATGCACATTCATATGCTACAGGAGCGTGCATGTTTATGCGAGTAGCAAAATGGGCTTCTATTGTTTTTGCTCTTAACATGCTGTTTTAATAAAAACCCTTATCCAATAATCTTGCTGCCCACAGCATTGTGCCAGCTGAACAGTGTCTGTAGATTTTGCGTTTGTTCCATCAAAATCTTAATCACTGTCTGTCTGAGACTGATGAAGTTAAAAGGAGAACTATGGGGTCAGTGTTTTTCCCCATAGTTCTCATTAGGGTAACGAGAGGACACAAACTAGCATCCTCCCGTCACCCTAAGCTCAGTATACCGCGAGCTACAGCTCGCGGTATACTGAGACGCCGCAGCCGGAGTGCATCCCGACATCGATGTCGAGATCCGTCCAGCTGCGTGAGTGACAGCTGGCTCTGCCTATCTAGAGGCAGAGTCAGCTGTACCCGCCCCCTCCCCCGTCCGTTCCGCCAGTCAGCGCTGGAGGATCGGAGCGGGGAGGCGGGAATCCAGCCCCTCCCCTGTCACGGCAGAGAGCCGTGACAGGATCGAGAAGTAAGCGAACACCGGTATGTGTTCGCTCACTTCCCGATCTACTGAGCCGACCTGTGACCGTCTCATTGTCACAGGTCGGCTAGAACTATGAGGTGAGTGAAAAGCACTCCCCTCATAGTTCTCCTTTAAGGCTAGGTCGTCCCGGGACTATGCGATCGTGTTCATGTGCACATAGCGGTTGCCGTGCGGCCTAATTGATTTCAACGGGGTTACATACGTGCGGCAATTGCTAAAAAATATACATGTACCTTTTTTTTGCGACACAGGACGTGCTGCTTTTTTAGCCCCGATCGTGTTCAATTGCACATGCGACCTGCCTGGCGCGACTGGGTACGCTATGTCAATGAAGCCTAAGTGGCAAGATGACCAATGCATTCAGGGACCTAATAGAGAACCGGGAAGGTATTCAAATATCACTAGATTTTTGGCCAGGATCTAGAGGCAAAAACATCCAGCACTGTGCCAAATGGCCTGCCATCGCCACTAGTCATTGTGCACTTTGAGAGCTTTTCCCATGTGTAGAATAACAGTAAGTGGTAACGTGACCAATGCATCCTGGGAACAAGCATGTAGTAGCCTGAAAACTTTGAAAACTTTTCTTGAACACCAATTGTAGGTCATAACTTTCCCTAGACCTACAATGGCATTGGTCAGGTGACCACAAGCAACTATAGTAAGAGCCATTCTACATTACAAATCTTGAGGCTGGCAAATACTCAGCAGAGTGAAGACCAAGAGAAAGCTTACCCATCTTTAAGAAATTGCTCCCTGGCTAGTGGAGCCAGTGAGAAATTGCTCCATCACTAGCGAGGGAGATTCGGCAGCATTCGGGGCCAGTAAGGCAGATGAGTGAAAGGCTCGCCAGTGTGACTTGATGCGTTTCTAGCAGCAGAACCACCCACGTGACATCTGCCTAAGGGTAATTGCACAAAATTCTAGGCATAGGCAAATTACATGACATCATCAACCTTGTCAAGAAACTCAGTCCTGGCTACAATTCTAATGCCTATACTATAAGACCATACACCTATAGATTTATCTGCAGATTTTCTATGATCAGATAGAAAAAAGTGTAACAGATTCCTCTATCTACGCTAAACTCTGTGGATGGTAGAATCTCCCACTGGGCCAAGCTTCAGTATCTTGCTGGTCGGCCCCGCTGGCTCTCAAAATATCTGAAAAATGCCTGCATCCAATCAGATTGTTCAGGTAGTTTGACAGCCAGCAGGCCGACCAGCAAGATACTGAAACTTGGCCCAGTGGGAGATTCCTCCATCCACACAGTTTAGTGTAAATGGAGGAATCTGTTGCACTTTTTCCACCTGGCCATAGAAAATGTGCAGATAATCTATAGGTGTATGGCCAGCTTAACAAGGGATCCTAGCACAAGGAAATCCAACACGCTAGCTAGGCACTTGCAAAACAAAGTGTTGGAGACCATATACCGATATACCATATGACTGAGGTCTTAGTCCAGACTGCATGCACCCTTACCAAAAGCAACAGCCGGCTTTGTTTTGAAACACCTCCAGCTTCTTTTCAATCACAGTTTTTGTAAAGCACAATGACAAACGGCAAAATGATAATCTCATTTGTTTTTAAAATGTCATTGAAAACAAGGAAACTAGGATATGTCATGTAGGTAAAAACATTGTCACCGGGGAGAAAGCACACTAGATAAGCCACATGTGTAAGACAACTCACTGCAGAGTCTAGCAACCCCTAGAGATGCCCCTTTCATTTACTGTAATTAAGCAGAGTTCTCTCTTCTGCAACCCTCAATGCAGCAGAGACGCACTGGAGGCAGGCCACTCTATGACAACATGAATCTTTAAAGGTCAACAGAAAGAGCACATGGAGCATACAAGGACAATGCAACCCCATCAGAAACCATATACCGCCTGCATCTTGTAAACACCTCAGTAAATAAAAGGACCACAGCAAATCTCTGCAGTCTATGACATTCAACATGGAAGGTCTAGAAATATGTTAACAAATGCATACATAGCACATACAGCTTTAGGCCAGGCCTACAAATATGGATTGTGTCATCTTCATCAAGTCTATAAATACTGTATTAGGTTTAGCCTCAAGCACAACAACTCTCAAAAGCTGGACTAACAAGCTCGTAAAGAGAGAATTATTAGACACACGAGTCATCACACACCTTGTATACTTGTCCATAGGTGCCATTGCCCACCACTTCCACCAATTCAAAGATGCCTGCTGGATCCTGAAAGAGAAAAAAACAAAATGTGTACAGATAGTCTGTCAGCATGTATTAAGGATGGAAATGCGAGTAATGATGGGATGGATGCAGCTGTTGCGCCCTGGTTTTTTTTCCTCTCTCCACTTGAGGCACATGCCAATACATGCAAACAAAGGAAGCCAGTGTGACTTGTATAAAGTCTCCATCCTAGCGCACATCATGAGCATTAGAGAATAGAAAGCAAGTAGAAAATTAACTGAAGAGGTGAAAGATAAAAAACAAGAGAAAGATAGAGAAGCAGTCCTCCTTTGGCTTGTTGCAGGCTGGACTAGAGGGGCCCTGCCTCCATCCTAAGAGTGCTGGACTAGAAGACCCAGCCATGCCTCTATCCTATGGCTGCTGAACTAGAGGGGCCCTGCCTCTACCCTATTGGTGTAGCACTAGAAGAGCCCAGCTCTGCCTCCATCATATGGGAGCTAGACTAGAGGGGCCCAGCCCTGCTTCCATCCTATGGGTGCTGGACTAGAGGGGCCCAGCCCTGCTTCCATTATAAGGCTGCTGGACTAGAGGGACCCAGCTCTGCCTCCATCCTACGGGTGCTGGACTAGAGGGACCCATCCCTGCCTACATCCTATGGGTGCTGGACTAGAGGGACCCATCCCTGCCTCCATCCTATGGGTGCGGGACTAGAGGGCCCCAGCTCTGCCTCCATCCTACGGGTGCTGGACCCATCCCTACCTCCATCCTATGGGTGGTGGACTAGAGGGGCCCAGCCCTGCTTCCAATATAAGGCTGCGGGACTAGAGGGCCCCAGCTCTGCCTCCATCCTACGGGTGCTGGACCCATCCCTACCTCCATCCTATGGGTGGTGGACTAGAGGGGCCCAGCCCTGCTTCCAATATAAGGCTGCGGGACTAGAGGGCCCCAGCTCTGCCTCCATCCTACGGGTGCTGGACCCATCCCTACCTCCATCCTATGGGTGGTGGACTAGAGGGGCCCAGCCCTGCTTCCAATATAAGGCTGCGGGACTAGAGGGCCCCAGCTCTGCCTCCATCCTACGGGTGCTGGACCCATCCCTACCTCCATCCTATGGGTGGTGGACTAGAGGGGCCCAGCCCTGCTTCCAATATAAGGCTGCGGGACTAGAGGGCCCCAGCTCTGCCTCCATCCTACGGGTGCTGGACCCATCCCTACCTCCATCCTATGGGTGGTGGACTAGAGGGGCCCAGCCCTGCTTCCAATATAAGGCTGCGGGACTAGAGGGCCCCAGCTCTGCCTCCATCCTACGGGTGCTGGACCCATCCCTACCTCCATCCTATGGGTGGTGGACTAGAGGGGCCCAGCCCTGCTTCCAATATAAGGCTGCGGGACTAGAGGGCCCCAGCTCTGCCTCCATCCTACGGGTGCTGGACCCATCCCTACCTCCATCCTAAGGGCGCTGGAGTAGAGGGGCCCATCCCTGCCTATGGGTGCTGGACTAGAGGGACCCATCCCTGCCTCCATCCTACGGGTGCTGGACTAGAGGGACCCATCCCTGCCTCCATCCTATGGGTGCTGGACTAGAGGGACCCATCCCTGCCTCCATCCTATGGGTGCTGGACTAGAGGGACCCATCCCTGCCTCCATCCTAAGGGTCCTGGACTAGAGAGGTCCATTCCTGCCTCCATCCTATGGGTGCTGGACTAGAGAGGGACCATCCCTAATTCCATCCTATGGGCGCTGGACTAGAGAGGGCCATTCCTGCCTCCATCCTAAGGGTGTTGGACTAAAAGGCACAGCTGTGCCTCCATCCGAAGGTGCTGGACTAGAGGGGCCCAGCCCTGCCTCAATCCTAAGGGTGCTGGACTAGAGGGGCCCAGCCCTGCCTCAATCCTAAGGGTGCTGGACTAGAGGGGCCCAGCCCTGCCTCAATCCTAAGGGTGCTGGACTAGAGGGGCCCAGCCCTGCCTCCATCACAGGGGTGGGGGCCTGCATTGGCAGCTGCTGGGGCTTCCATCTCAGATCCACATCCATAGTAGAATCCCACAGGCCAGCCCACACCTTGCCTTTGTGTGAGATGCAGACACATGTCTGACTGTGATGACAATCCGACCATACTAACCCTCAAGGAGGAGAGGTCTATGTCCACCAGACTTTTGGCAGGCGAGTCATTAGCCATGGTGGCCCTGTGTTTTCTTCAGTAGCCCAGGCAGACTGTGTACTCCCCTCCTCTCTGGATCCAGACACAGCAGGGCGAGAACCTCTCCCCCCTCACTCTCTGCTTGCAGGGCTCCAACTCCTCATTGGGGTGCAGCAGTCCCTCCTCTTCGTCTCCCGGTCCCTATTGTGCGACTCTTCCCCTTGTCTCTCCTGCGGACTGGCTGCGAGCAGGCGAGTCACACCATGTTGAGGTGGCAGCTCCCAGCACAGTGAACCAGGCTCGCTCGCTCTCTCCTTCCTTCCCCTCCCTCTTTTCTTCCTTTCTTCCTCCCCTCGGACACACAGACATGCAAAGAGGAGACAGAGGGGGGTGGGGAAGAGAAAATCCTCAGCCAGCACAGCTACTGGAGCCGGCAGCACCAATCACGGTGTTCTATGGGAGGCGGCATCCCTGCTATCCCTTTAGATGTGACTGCGCCTCACTACTGGCCGGTAGGTGGCGCACGGCGCTCTGCTGCTCACTGCACATCGGGAGAGGAGCCGGAGATCCTTAGCACAGCTGCATCATTTAAATCTGGACTAACATAGGACAGATGTACCAATCCCTACTACTGACATAGCACAGCGCTACCGATCCCTACTAATGACATAGCACAGCGCTACCGATCCCTACTAATGACATAGCACAGCGCTACCGATCCCTACTAATGACATAGCACAGCACTACCGATCCTTACTAATGACATAGGACATCGCTACCGATCTCTACTAATGACATAGCACAGCGCTACCGATCCCTACTAATGGCACAGAGCTACCGATCCCTACTAATGACACAGAGCTACTTATCCCTACTAATGATGTAGCACAGCACTACCGATCCCTACTAATGACAACACCGGCATTACAGCGCTACAATCCCGCCTACTGACAGTACCAACGTGACCAATCCCTACTGCTGACAGCACTGGCATTAAAGCGCTACCGATCCCTCCTACTGACAGCACCGAAATGACAGCACTACTGATCCCTACTACTGACATAGCTCAGCGCTACGTGTCCTACAGGAAGCACCAACATTATAGCACTACCTTCTCTCCTCCTTACATAGGACAGCCCTACTGATCCCTACTTCTGAGGGGGCACTAACACCAAAATGGGAAGAAAATGGCAAGTCAACGAAGGTTCCATTGACATTGCAATTGTACCTTCCAATTTCCTTCCGACCTGTTGCATTGCATTTTTCAACAGATGCTAATGGAAGGGCACGGAAAAAAGAATGGGTGTGAATGGGGCTAGTTCATACTGAACCTGTTGTGTTATGTTGTGCTGGAAAAAAGTACTGCTTGTTCTTTTTTTTTTAGAGTCACAAGAAGGAGCGTTGTAAACTCAATGCCACCCATTCATTTTTCTGTGCTCTGCCGCTAGCATCCCTCGAAAAACCGTTCGCAACGCAACAGATCCCAACGCAACAGATCGCAAGGGAATGGATCCAGTGTGGAGCGTATACAACTGTGAGTACACACTGACTAGAAGGCTGGAGTTCAACTTCCAGCTAATCAGTGTACAGAGTCCCAGACAGGAACGTTACTCAGTGTTACAGAAACAAAGGTACTACCTGTATAGAAAACTCCAGCATGCTATGAAAGTGTCATGGCCGCACCATGTAGAAGAAGAAGAAATAGTGATAACAATGGCAAAAAGGATATAAAATAACATTGACCCCCCATATCAGTATTGTTTTGTATGTAAGATAAAAGAGGGACCTATAATGCTCTGTGAGATAGGGCATTCCCTACTCCACACTCTTCTAGGACAATGTGATCCTGAACCCATTGGGGGCTCTCCCGGGGTCCTGACATCAATACAAATCCACTCTCATACCAGAAGAGACACACAGAGATCACGTGACAACCGATTCAGAAACTCAATACAATGACATTTGAGGGGGCGGGG